ATAGACACATATCCTGGTGATAAGTGAAAACAATTGTCTTACAATTTCCCAGATTTACCGAAATGGCACTGGTTCACGTCTTGCAGCTGTGGATCACGTGCCCGGTAAAGATGTTTTTAAAGAGCAAATGCCATTCATTCTTACAGAATTTATTTTCTACACTGGCAACATTCCAATTAATAAGATGCCTGTGACGTTAAATATATGCTATAGATTTATAAATGTTAAATTTTACATCTAGCCATGATGGACAAAATCTCCAGCACTTTAATTAAGGTGGTGGTGGTGGTGGTGGTGGTGGTGGTGGGGGGGGAGTGAGGAGGAAATCACCCATTATTCTCAAATGAAAAGTCACTAATTTTTAAGTTCTAAAAATTCATTTTCTTAGCAACTGTTCATACAATTGATAAATCCATAAGCAACAGCAAAACTAAAACAAATAATTATTAATAAAATAAATACCAAAAGTTATATACTTAATATATTCACCAAATACTACGTAAAGTGGCAGTAACTACCATATGACTTGAGACACAAGGAGACGCAAGGAGAGTACCTGTTTTCACCTGAAAATAATTCCATGACCTTTTGACCTCAGACAAAACTATATGTCAAACATTTCCTAATAATTTGCCACATCCTTCATTTTGTGATACCGTTAAATTTGCAAAACCACTGAGCAAATTTATCACAAGTACTAGTAATTGACATGTGCTCCAGAGAAATCAGCAGTCAAGATCATTTTTCTTGTAGTGTACGCTCCATTAAATGTCATCAAAAATAAGAAACTGATTGCCACAAAACAATCCTATCTTAAGCCTGGGCATTTTTTCTTCAATTTTGATCCAAGAAAATAGTCATAAAATACAAAAAATTTTACCAATTTATCATGCCAAAATGTGTGTGTGTGTTTGTGTGTGTGTGTGTGTGTGTGTAGGATGAAGAGTTCTATGACATCACACTTTTGACACAAAGAACATTATATTTTCAAAACCAAAATTAGTCACCCCTAAGTGAATTCACGAAAGATAAAAAAACAGAGGCATGTCTTCAGAGAAACGCCATGGAGGACAGTCTATATATACGACTTCACTTGAGAAACCTTAAGTAATCTTAATAGTTCTGTTTGCCAAGGACTTGAGAGGAAATTAATTCACAGAGATGCCATTCAATTCTCTATATCTCTTCATCTCTCAGCTATTTAAAGAAAAATTCTCTGGCAACAGCAAAAGACCATTACTAGTATAGATCACAGCGCATGGAAAGATGAAAAATTGTACATCTGAAGTGCAATTCCAACAAGATTCTATAAGTTACAAGAGAGTGCAGAAGGACTGAACAGAATCAATATCTTGGAGAGTTTCTGAAACCCGCGACCTTAAACCAGACAGACAGCTTGGCTTTGAAGTCAACGCTAAGCAAACCCTCGCCACTGAGCTATACCTCTTTATTATACCTCTTAGTGTCTTTGTATGTGAAAGAGAGAGAGGAATGACAAGAACTGTTCGTCAAAAGAGTACTAAAAGCAGTATAACTGCAAATATATCAAAAAGTCCACCATAGCAGATAACTTTAAAGTGAATAAAGCCCTCAATGATTTCCAAGCATAATATGAGGTAGCTACCTATCAGAACAGCAATGTTTTTCTTCGTAAAAAGCATTAAATACATGTGAGCAACAGTTTAACATGACTTTTGTCAAATTTGGAATTCATCAATCCTTCTGAATAACATGGATGACAATAGACTGATAAACTCTGGGAAATACACTCCTTCTTTTCAAAGAAAATGGTTCCATTTCACCTCCTAACCTCCATCTCTGCTCCTCAAGATGAGCCTCATTACGTGACACTACCTTTCTGAAAATGTTTTTGTGAAATACCACATACTAGTCAGCAGCCACTCAACCTGGGCAGCTCAAAAAGATAGTCCCCATGTCAAGAATGACATGCAACCTTATGAGAAAAGGTGAGTTTGAATTCAGTCATTATTTCCTGGCGACAGCCAATGCCACTCATTCAATTACCACAGATAGGATCAGTAAGGCCAATACCCTAGTAGTAGTAACATATATGCTCAAAAAAATTAATATTAAATCTGAAAGGGAGAAATTGCCAGTTAAATATGTCCTTATATATATGACATCATTCAATTTACTGACAAGTAAATCTCAGTTGAAAATAACCCCATATACTTCTGTGGGAGGCAACAGTAATTTAGGCTTCGTTCACATGCAATGTCTATTTTCTAAATTCTATTTTCTATTTGCGGCATGTCTTATGATCACGGTCTGTGCACTGAATATCCCGCCGCGTAATTACTGGCAGCGCGAGCCAGTTACTATAAGTTACTATAAGTAACTGGCTCGCGCTGCCAGTAATTACGCGGCGGGATATTCAGTGCACAGAGCGTGATCATAAGATAGCGCGAATAGAAAATAGAATTTAGAAAATAGACATTGCATGTGAACGAAGCCTTAGTCTTATTCTTTGACATGACCTTGGCCTGGCTTATTTATATATCTGGAGGTGACAGAAAAGATTATCAAGATTTTGTCTGTTTGTTTATCTAATACTGTACCCATTACATAGTATGTACCATATGGTTCTAAGCACATCATCTGAGGGAAATCTAAACAGATTAAAAATACAAGCTAAACACTACATCAGATAACAAAACAAAAAAAAATCCAAGTGGCTCTCGCTCCTGCCATGCAATGAGAATAGTTGGCTTAAGTACAAAAGATCTATAAGTTATAGCACATACGATGTGAGGAACAGGTGCATGCACTGAGCTGAGCCCAAAATATGAGATCCGCATCCCCGGCGTCATTAAAATTCCACCCAACTTAAAACAATCCAAGGTGTCTGTCATTGTCGCTTTTTACAATGTAAACCTGTCTAGACGGTTTTCAAGTATAATGCCTTATGTGTGCACCGTTCTTAATGTTTTCAGAGAGATAAATTTGACACTAGTGTAGCTGGTCCCAGCACTAAGAGTAAGAGGCCATCGACCTGCACCGCTACCATTGCCAATCATTCAGCAATTAGGTTGGTTTCCAAAAAAAAAAATTCTACATCTAATTGCTTCTGTAGGACGCAGTCTGCTTTACAAAACATTTTGTGGATTTGACGCAATTGCAGTCAGATATGCGACAAAAATTGCGAATAACGTGCTTGCTTACCTTGCCATTTCGATCATCTGATCAGCGAATGGACATGTTTGTTTGCGTCCGACCTTCTGCACCTTGGCCTTAGAGCAGTCTGGTCACGGGACCGCTTATGTTCCCGACAAAAAATTATGCAAGCGTTTTCTTCTTGCAGTCTAATAACATTAGCATATTATATTCTTCTAAATTGATAAGTATATTTTTTGTGAAATAACCAGATATTTATTGCTGTCATATCAGAAAGATAGATATGTGGTGTCAATAACCTTGAAGTTGGATATACATTTATCATGTTCTAAGAGATAATAATTGAAGTGGATGCTGGGAAAACATGGCAGCCTCCTGTCGCTTCTCAAGGTTCTTATGGAATCCCCACAAATGTCGCGTTGTCAATGTCGCTCGCAGGTGTCTGAGTGTGCAGACAGAACGCGAGGCCGAAGTCCGATACCTAGATGGCGATGCATCGGGTAAAAATGATGAGTTGTAATTCATTGGCTGCTTTTATCAAAACAATATTTGATCCCCGGTGGCCTTCGACTTTGGCCGACGCTTCAACTTGAAGTTCAAGTTGAACAAATACTCATTGTAACTTGGATTGGTCTATCTGAGTCACTCAACTGCCACAGCTAGTGTTAGGATAGTTTTGTAGTTTGTCTCACATGCAATAACAGTCAAAGTATAATTTGACATAAAATATATATTATGCACCCTTGTATAATAGTAATATGGTTCAAAACTATGCAGTGTGTTATGAAATTCACTTCCAGACAAATTTGCAGTACCTGTTACGAATTTTAAGTGTATATTATTTCATTATAATAATTATAATGTTAAATATGTAATGTTATAATGGAAGACCAGTTTCTTTTTCAGATGTGTTTTAAACCTAACAACACGGAAAAAGCAAAAAATGATACTTTTAATAAATTAATGTTGACTTGTACAGAAATAATTTGTTGTGTGCTGCAGGTGTTGCAGTTTTGGCAATGAACAGGCCCAAGACTAGAAATGCGATTGGGAAAAATATTTTACAGCTCGTTAGTATATTGGATTTGCTTTGGCTATTTGGTCTCTCTATCTGTCTCTCTCTTTCTCTCTCTCTCTCTCTCTTTCTCTCTCTCTCTCTCTCTCATTTACGAATTAAATATTCTGTTTACCCATAAATACTTGAGTTTGTATTCAGTTGTGTTCTGGTATCTGTATAGCCTCAACCGTCTTACACACTGAAGGTTTTGAATTGGTTTGCCGTATTACTGGTGAAAAACCAGGAGATAAATCACATAACAGATGGTTACATGGTGATAATTGTTATTTCAGTTTCAAGAATCTTTGGAGAAATTCAAGTTTGACAAATCTCTGAGGGTTATTATTTTAAAAAGTGATGTTAAGGGAGCTTTCTGTGCAGGTATGTGATCAGTGATAATCGGTTAGACCGTTTAGTTGTTTCTTGTTGAGTTGGCTTTTGAGACTGGTCAACACTTATTCCTCCATTAAAAAGCTAATGCTATACCATGATACAATTTTTAAAAATGCTCTGGTTGATCAAAGATGTCAAGAATTAGAGGACGGGGTGCAAAATTTGAGGTTTTCATAAATTTTCATAGTATTAATAATTATATGAAATATTGGAAGAATGTGGATAATTGATGAACTGTCAAGGTCAAAAGTTTTTTTTTTTTTTTTTTTGCTTTGTTTTTTCTGTTTTTTTTTTTTTTTTTAATGAAAGTGATATATTTGATTATTTGTATTTATAAACACTTTGTACATAGAATGTGATTCTTGTACTTGTGGGCCACTTATTCTATTTTTTTTGGGGGGGGGGGGAGAGGGGTTGAATTGGTCTAGTTTGCCCCCTTTATTAAGGGGAATATCATATTGCTTACAGAGCAGAATAAAACATAATCCACATTAACTATTATTTTGAATTCACCAGGAGCTGACTTGAAGGAGAGGGCAGCAATGAAGGAGGAAGAAGTAGGCCCCTTTGTGGCCAAGTTGAGGAGCACCATCTTAGATTTCATGAACCTTCCTCTCCCTACCATAGCAGCCATTGATGGCACAGCATTAGGAGGAGGCTTAGAGATTGCTTTAGGCTGTGACATTAGGGTAGCAGGTATGTTACCATTTGGGTGTGTTGGTGGGGTGGAGGTTTAACTCAGTTTAGAATTGATCTAGGATCTGAAATATGGGTTGCAAGTTGGTGGGGTGGAAGTAAAAAAAAATTTGGCTGTCTTTTAAAAGCAGCCCATTTTTCAATTAAATTTCCAACAAAACCTCAGAGTCTATAATATTATGTTTATGTGAAATGCAATTTTTGTGCAGTAAAAGTAAAATACTGCTATAGATGTATTCACTGGTCATTTAGAAAAGAAATCTTTATAACCATACCTGTTTATGTCTTCTTTGCCATCCAAACGCTGATTTGTGTATAATCAGTACAGATTTATTGTGATAATTATTAATGCAAAGTTTAAACTTGTATTAATGTTAGATATTAACCAGATCCAATATTTTGAGTGAAGTTCCTGTTCATCTTGGTTTTGGTGTGACTGCATCATTCCACATGTAAATGTTTTTTAGCTGACTCTGCCAAAATGGGCCTCACCGAAACAAAACTTGCAATCATTCCTGGAGGAGGTAGGTGTTATAGTATCAAAAGTCTCATGACATGAAACACCTTGCTTATTCAGTATTGAATTTGTTCAACATTTATTCATTGAAATACTTAACAGGTGCCTACATCCTAACATGAGCTCAGCATGCTTTTAAGAACCATGTTATTTTTTTTTCAATATTACTGAAAACTAAAGTGATAAGTGGTATTTTAATAAGCTCTGTACCAGAAACGGCATCATAAAAAAGACATAAAATCAAAATTTCATGGACATAACATGGCCCCTCTGAAATGGGTTTCATTTGAAAGAGTACAAGTTTATACATGTTATAAATATGTTTTTTTAACTTTGCACAGTTGTGAAACTGTCATTAAATGCCACTTAGTACTTCAAAGGCAGCTCTATAACCATTTTAGAAAGTATGCATGTAGCACTGTTACTCACAACTCTTTGGGGTAGATTCTGTAAATATGGGAATAATGAATTATATTTAGGTGGCACTCAGAACCTAGCCAGAGTGTGTGGTCCCTCTGTGGCCAAGGAGTTGATTTTTACGGCGCGGGCTCTGGATGGGGTGGAAGCACATAGGATGGGAGTAGTGAACCACGTCGTAGAACAGAATGATGACGGGGATGCAGCTTATTTAAAAGCTCTGCAGCTGGCTAAGGAGATAGCACCACAGGTGGGTGGGTAGAAAGTGGCACAACTGACACAATTGTAGCACACCCAACACAATGCCATCACCTTTCACAACTAACGCAATCTTGGTATGCTCAACACAATCCCAATACCTCTCTCAATTTTTTACAACTAATTTACCCAGAAAACCCAAATTATTTAGAAACATGCCCAACACAGCCATAATATCTTTGTACTTACCAATATGTGACATTGTCACCATTGTCACCAGACAAGTCATTTCCTCAAACCCAGGCAACTTTCCTTCATGATGCTTGATGGTAAAAAATTTACAGCTGGAAATAGGGTTATCAGATCTGAATTTTTTCTACAGATTTGGTCATGGTACAGCTAAGGAAAATTGCTGGTATTTACAGGAATAGATTTGAAATTGCTACATTTAAGTAAGCCTCGTGCCTATTGCCTGCTTTTAAAAGGGTATTTACTGTATAGAGACCTCATTCCTCCTTTGCATACCAATTACCTATAGGTCAGTGACCTAGGTAAAGCTAGGTCATTGAACTATGTAAGCCAAGTTCACCATGGGTAGCAGATGTAATTCTTGTGTTAAGGTAGATCGGTCGTTACATGTTCCAACGTTCGAATTTTTTTTAAAAAAATTTTGTTTGAAGAGACACCCAAGTACATTAAAAATTTGCAAAAAAAATTGGGGGTCACCGAGCAAATAAGAGAACTAGGCCTAAATATGATACACCCTGCATATCGCACTAGTCCCCATTCAAATCAATGGGAAAATGGGTGTTTTTTCACTAAAACATTATTTTTTATGACTTTCTGATGTTCGAATTTTTTTTAAAAAAATTTTGTGTAAAGAGGCCTTCAAGTACATTTAAATTTTGCCAAAAAAATTGGGGGTCACCGACCAAATAAGAGAACTACGCCAACTTGAAGTGCATTACACCCTGCGTGACGCACTAGTCCCCATTCAAACCAATGGGAAAATGGGTGCTTTTCACCAAAACGTTATTTTTAATGATTTTTCTAACGTTTGAATTTTTTTTTAAAAACTTTTTGTGTAAAGAGGCATCCAAGTAGATTTAAATTTTGCCAAAAAAATTGGGGGTCACCGACCAAATAAGAGAACTACGCAAAGTTGAAGTGCGTAACACCCTGTGTGACGCACTAGTCGGAAGTCCCCATTCAAATCAATGGGAAAATGGGTGTTTTTGCACTAAATCGTTTTTTTTTTCTTTTTTTCTTTTTCTTTTTTTTTTTTTTTTTTTGTGTGTGTGTGTGTGTGTGTGGAGAGACATCTAAGTACATTAAAAACTTTCATTACGTTTAACAGTTGAAGTGAGTATACTCAGCTATTTTCAGATTTGTCATACTGATGCGAAAGAGTAAGCCATTAACTTCACAACAAAATTATTGAAGAGAGTAATAAGGGAAATACTCATGCATATGAAAATAGTTTATTGCCGTTGTTATTTATTTATGAATATAACACGAACGTGACATCGTAAACACTGTGTTGTCAAGTAAAATGAAGCGTCTGATACAAAGTATCAAATGCGGCATTCACGTGCTTCCTTGCGGTGCGTTCAGTACACTTTGTTTACACTGACAGGTCAAGGTCAGAAGTGCACAAATTGTCGAGTGCGGAGACATCCGAGTAGTTCCGAGTGACCGATCTACCTTAATAACTGATAAGAAGTTTTTTATATAGTTTGGGATGAAAGGGAAACAGAGAGATTATACTTAATGCCTGTGGTGTGCTAAGTAGATTTATCAGACTGCGTGTTAATACTTTATTCTGTAAAAAATATCAAAAATGATAGCAAGAATTGTACTTGTCCAATTTATAGGTGATCTCAGTGCTTTTGTTGTATAGTACAACTGCTGAGGTGATAATTGTGATATTCCTAAAGAAAATAAGTGGAAGTCAATGTATTTTTCAGGGTCCAATAGCGCTAAGGATGGCCAAGTTGGCAATTAACAAAGGCTCAGAGGTATTGCAGATTATTGCATTTGAATTTTGTGAATGCGTATCATTAATTTTTTTTTTTTTGTGTGTGTGTGTGTGTGTGTGTGTGTGTGCGTGTGTCTGTTTGTGTGTCCATGTTGGAAAAGCCAGAAGGCTAAAACATTCATTGGTACAGACTACATTGAAATTATACTTAATTATACGGTTGTGAATGTTTGCAAAATTTTGTATTGAGCAGTTTGGAAAAATGAATATACATATATTATTGCAATTACATGTACTGGAACAGTTAACATTAGTTAATTTTTTTTAATATCTCTATTGTCAGGTTGACCTCATGTCTGGTTTGGCATTTGAACAGCAGTGTTATGCTCAGGTATCGGTCTCTCCCCCTCCCTCTCTCTCTCTCTCTCTCTCATGGCCACCCATTTAATATGATGTATTTGTTTATTTATTGTTATTTGTCAATTGATTAGTTAGTAGGTAAATTAGCTTATTTATTTATGTATTTTAAAATTGACTAATTAATTGATGGATGGATTGATTGATAATGAACTGCACCATATATATATATTTCAGGTTATTCCCACAAAAGACAGGATGGAGGGGCTGATGGCATTTAAGGAAAAGAGACCACCTCAGTACAAAGGAGAATAGACTGGATTCAGCATTTCAAAAATCACAAAAAAAAAAAAAAAAGAGTGGCAGATTTCTTACAAATATTTTCTTGTTTTACTCAAATCCACTTGTTCAATGTTATGTGTTGATGGGAACATTTGCTGGGCAAAGGTGAAAGATCATCATGTATATACGTCATTCAATCTATGGAAATCATGTCCAGATTGGGTTCATATTATTTTTAAAAAATACGGAACATATGCAAATAGCAGTAAGTGAGGAACACAATGAAGCATGCTGGTGTAAGTCTTAGTATTAAAAAAATTTGTATGTGCACAAAATTTTCTATGTATGCCATCTTATGGTTCATGGGTTTTACATTGTATGGAAGTTATACGATTATTGACACAAACATGTTACTTATACGTAAATATTACACATAAGTCAAAAGAAGTAGATGTAATGTTAAGTACGTATACCCAAAACTGTGTAAATGCTCAAACTTGGGGAGGCGGGGGATGATAGTTCAGTGTATGTCAGCATTTAAGAGAAACTGATACATCTGTATACTCTGGCTAAATCTCCAAGGTGTATCTGACTTTGAAATGCCTGTAAACAGGTATAAATATGTGTGCACAGATTACAGATTGGCTCAATTTCATGCAGCAAACTTGGTTTCTCCATCAATAATCATGGCACAGTATTATTTATTCCATAGCATTATAGCTCAATGATGTGGCAAGACCATTGTTGAGATTTTTGATATGGTATCAGCAGAAGTTGGTTGGAGTCGGAGAGGGCTGCCTGTGCCCCCCCCCCCCCC